GTTTTTTTTTTTTTTTTTTTTTTTTTTTTTTGAGAATTTAACTAAAGATGTGCATTCAAGATTAGGTTTGCAATACAAAACCTAACAACATTTAGCAAATAGGAACATGTTTCTGAATTTTTGTGAACAATTTTGTAACAAAATGATGTGATAGTAGTATTTTTGTATTTAAGAAAAATGTTGATAATGATAGGATCACAACTTAATAAGATCATTTTTTATATGTATTTTATTTTTATTTTATGAATTACATTAACGGTCAAAGTATGCAATTCATTACATTTTAGTCAACAATTTTTTTAATATATATTTTTTTTGATTGGCAACAATTTTTTTAATATACAATCTATTACATTTAATTCATGGCGTTAGTGCCGTTCAAAATTAATAATGAAAAAAAAAAAAAAAAAAAAAAAAAAAAAAAAAAAAACCCCCCCACCCAAAACACCCCCCCCCCCCCCCCAAAAAAAAAAAAAACCCCCCCAAAAAAAAAAAAAAAAAACAAAGCCTCACATAAGCATTCACATTTATTTATATGAAATTTTTTTTAAAAAAATCCTCAAAATGGGTCTTCTTTCTCTTGTGCTTCCCCTCAAATTGGCCCCTCCTCTTCCAATGGACAGAATCACAGAAACCAGGATGCATTTTCTTTCCTTTTCTCGGCTGGCTGATGATGTGATTAAGCAGCCATCACTGTGCCTGCTCGGAAAGGGTAGTTTTGGGTCTTGTTTGGAGAGGAGGATTTGTTGGATTTCTTCTGATCAATCCTCAGGGCTTTCATAGAAGCAGAGATCTTCCAATTCTTCTCATTGGCTTCATCTATCTCTATCTGTTCTTGTCTGCACTCTTCACTACAGAATGGAGTGTCCCCTCTGCAAATTCAAATACCATACAAATTGAGAATAACCCCAAAAACAAAGATGAAAATTTTTGCAAGAGAACAAAAAAAATAAATCCTGTTTGGTTGCAGAGAAAATAGAATGATAATAGATCAAATAAAAATTTTGGGTTTCAGTTTCCCATTTTTATGAGCAAACTCTTTTGGGTCCAATCATTTTTTATTTTTGTTTTTGAGTTTCTCAATTTTCAGAGACCAAAATAAGAAACATTTACTACAAATTTTCCCCTTCATTTGACTTAGTTTTCTCCCCATCCCAACACAGTGAACGGAAAATAAGAGCAAAATCTCATTCTTTTCCGATTATACCTAAACCCATCTCCAACTAGTAAGCTCATATTTTGTAGAGCAAAAAGAATTGGACCTTCCCCAAACATAGATAGAATTTTCCGTGATTAAACAAAATTTTCCCAGAAAATTCAACTTTCCCATAAAAAAACAGAGAGAAAACATAAAAGGGTTCTCAAATTCAAAAGAAGAGAGAGACAATGGGACAAACCTGTACATGAAGATGTCTTTGTTATCAGCAAGGGTCTTCTTGCAAAGAAAACAAGCCTCCAAGAAATGGGGCTGGTGTTCTTCATAGAATCTATTAGCATCATAGAACCTTCCAGATCTGGGAGAAGAAACAGAGGAAGAGAACGATGAAAGGTTTCTGATGCTACCTCTTCTCTGCAAGGAGGATGTGTAATAGAGTGGCCTAGACACAAAAGGGTGTGGATGTTGATGGTTTCCAGAGAACCCAGCTTCCATGTCTGCAAGAGAGGCAAGACCATCGTCTTCTTCGATGAAACAAGGCCTTCTTGTGGCTGTAGAGTCCATGAATGTGTTCTTACTGATGTGGGTTTTGCTTAGAGAGAGAGATGATGATGATGATGATGATGATGATGAGAGGAAGCTGGGAGGAGAGAGTCTCGCGAGGTGGTTTATAAAGAGGGTTGGTGTGAGAGACTGAGTGAGGGAGTGAGAGAGAGAGGTGTAAACTACGGCGGGCTTCGAGAATCCGTGAGAGTGAATCTACTGGTCGAGACTACCTGCATGAATGCCATTAATCTGCCAATGATTTACTATAATGCCAAGACTAATCAAACAAAATAAGGGAAAAAAAAAAGGATTACTCTACTGAAAGTTAGATTTATTGATCAATAAATTTTACAATAATTAATAAATTTTAGGGAAAATCGGTCTAAGGTCCCTATCCAACTTTTAGTAATGGTTGTTGAGGGACCTTAGACATTATGAAAATATTTGGTGTCCTTTATGCTATAAAATCATAATACCAGGGACCTTAAAAAAAAAACCCCTAAATTTTTTCATTAAATATTATTAAAAAATTATTAATTATTAATTTTTAGCAATAGTTTAAAATTTTTGTTATAAAAAAAGTCACTAATTATAGAGTTTAATGATAATTTTAAAAAAATATAAAAAAGTCATTAATTTTTAACTTTCACTGACAATTTTAAAAATTTATCACAAAAAACGTTACTAATTGTAAGTTTTATCAATAATTTATAAAAACAGTAACAAAAAAAATCACTAATTGTCAATTTTTAACAACATATGTAAAAAAAAGTCTAAAAAAATTATTTTAGCTACTATTTTATTATTTTAAATATAATTTGATGGGAATTAAATCTAATTAAGATCTATTAATAGTTTATCCATGAGAAAATTGTAAGAAAAAAGGCATTTTCATGATATATCTTTGTGCATGTCACATTTGTGTTTAATGTAAGGTCTCGTTTAAAAAGTTGACTGTTTTATTTGGTTTTTTTGAATTTGAAATTTTTGAATTTTTGATTTAACTACGTTAAAAAAGTTATGTTTATAAAGATAATTGATTTTTTTAATTGATTTTTTTAATTGATTTAATGGTTCTAAGAGAAAAAATAAAATAACTATGGATTAGATGTAATATTTTATCTTATTAACTATTTTAGTTTAATTTATTTTGTTTTTATTGACTATTTTAATCCAAGAGGCATCCTCATCCAAACAGGGCCTAAGTTTAGCTTCAAATACAGGTATAATTTGTACCCTTTTTTTGAATATTTATAGTGTAATTATCTTTATTATTTTATTGAAATGCAATTTGTTAAAAAAAATTAGAAGAAATTGTTAAAACGGTAACTACTAAAATATAGAAGGTGTTTGAGGTTTACTTTCTTTTTTTCTTTTTTCTTGTTTTTTGGATTTAAAAAATATATATATATATATAAAACAAATTAGAAAGAGTAATGCGACAATTTACGTTATATTTATTTGGATAGAAAAAATATTTTTATTTTCATTTTTGACGATAGTGGGGATGAAACGAAAATGGAGGTGGAGATGGTGACATGGTGGTAGGGCAGCAACGATGGTGAGAGCGACGATGATGGTGGCATTGGGTGTGGTAGTGGAGGTGAAAGTGACGGTGATAGTGTGATGATATTGGTAAGATTTTAGTCCGAAAAATATTCTTCATCTTTTAAAAATGAAAAATATTTTTTAGCCATATAGACTTGTTTTCTGTTGATTATAATAAATATTTTTTATTGACTTTCATTTTTTATTGTACTAAACATCAAAAAATATAAAAAAATATTTTTCGGCCAAACAAATAAAATGTTATAGGAATTTTTTACTTTTTGATTTTTTTTTTTAAGAAATGCCGAAACTTAATCATGAAGGTATGAATTGAGTCTTTGTTAAACATGGTCACAATTTTCAGTTACAATAGAGCATAAACTCACTTACATCTCTATATTTATACAATTATATTTTACTTTTCTCAATTGATATGCAATTCACATAAAAAAAAAATATATTATAGAATGACATAACAAAGCTTCTATTTAGAAAGAATTTTTTTATCAATCCATCATTTTTATAAAATAATTTTTTTTGTAAGAGGAGGAAAATGAAATGGCATTTTGGTAGTTAAGGTGAAAGTTGGAGGCAACAGAATGAAAGTCGTAGTGTTAGTGTGGGCGGGCATTTCGGAATCCGCTCATTCCAGTTGGCTGAGCCTCTAGGCCCAACCCTTCCGAGTCCGGATCCTCTGTCGTGTTTGCTTGCGGTGGTGTCCTGCGATCTCCAAAACGACGTCGTTTTGAGGCAAAATTTCAAAAAAAAAAAAAAATGAAAGAAAAAGAAACAAAACCAGAGGAAGACAGAGGAGGAGAAGAATCAAGTAGAAAGATGGGTTCGTCGGTCTCGCCACCAACGGCCAACAACCATCTCGATCCTTTTTCTCTATATTTATACAATTATATTTTACTTTTCTCAATTGATATGCAATTCACATAAAAAATATATATATATTATAGAATGACATAACAAAGCTTCTATTTAGAAAGAATTTTTTTATCAATCCATCATTTTTATAAAATAATTTTTTTTGTAAGAGGAGGAAAATGAAATGGCATTTTGGTAGTTAAGGTGAAAGTTGGGAGGCAACAGAATGAAAGTCGTAGTGTTAGTGTGGGCGGGCATTTCGGAATCCGCTCATTCCAGTTGGCCGAGCCTCTAGGCCCAACCCTTCCGAGTCCGGATCCTCTGTCGTGTTTGCTTGCGGTGGTGTCCTGCGGTCTCCAAAACGACGTCGTTTTGAGGCAAAATTTCAAAAAAAAAAAAAAATGAAAGAAAAAGAAACAAAACCAGAGGAAGACAGAGGAGGAGAAGAATCAAGTAGAAAGATGGGTTCGTCGGTCTCGCCACCAACGGCCAACAACCATCTCGATCCTTTTTTCAAACCATTAAAACTTTTTCTTTGCTGCAAATTAACAAACACCTTTAAGTGCCCCTTTTTCACACCTTTAAGTTACCTATTTTTCACATTGAATCCAAATCTCTCTCTGCTCAAAATGCATAAAAACGAACTTGTAATTTTTTTACTTTACTAACCTTCAAATTCCAACTTCAAATTTGACAAATAATTCCGATATGCTTGAAAAAAGCACTATTTTGCTGGGACCAAACACAAACTGCTCAAAAAAATTCTCAGGAAACAAACAGAAGAATCAAGTAGGGGGTTGTTGGAGAAGATCGGGCGGTAGAGAATCGGAGGAGGAGACGTCGGAGAATCGGATGGTGGAGAGAGAGAGAGAGAGAGAGAGAGAGAGAGAGAAAGAGAAAGAGAAACATGAACATATGTATGTAAATATAGATGTTCAAAGTGTTAATATGTATGTATGTATGTATGTGTGTATATATATATATATATATATCAGATTTTTTAACCTCAAACTTTTATTTGAATGGTTGTTAATGTTGGTGTTCTTATGGGTGATGGTGAGAAATGAAGGGTTTTGGAGAAGAAAGTACAGAGAAAAATGGCTGCAAAATAGTGAAATCCTTTGTCGTGCCTTCTTTCTTCTTTCCCACTTTTGTTTTCCTCTAGTTCTGGTTTTTTTTTTTGGCCCCAAAATGACGTTGTTTTGGGGCACCGCAGGCAAACACGGCAGAGGATCTGGACTCCAACCCTTCCTGACCCAAATAACTGCCCGCATGAAGAAGATTGCTTCGTTTGCTTTTGAGTTACGACAATGATTGAAAATTATTTTTTTTTCAAAAATATTAGATATATCAAAAAAATTATTAAAAATTATACTAAATGTCTTATATGAGTATGAGATTCACATTGTGTGATTCCACACTCATGTATGTACAAGACTCACTAATATATATATGTAGGCGTTATACATATATAAGTGAATCTTATATATATATATATCAATAATTGAGATCTAAAAGAATTATAGAATCTCAAAAAAAAAAAGATTCCAGACGTTTTTTTGAGTTATGATTCTAAATAAATTATTAAAATTTTTAATAAATTATTTCAAGTTATAACATTTTCCTTTCATTTTTGTTGATTTTTCCTTTCTAAAGCCAGAAAAAAGTTTCTTATTATGGCCCACCCTACGCACCTCCAATGATTGTCTCTTTCAATCATGTCATCATCCAAAAAAAAATTTAATTCAAAGTCAAGGAGTGAAAAATATTAGAAGTCTTAAAAAATTTATTAATTTTTTTTTTAAATGCCTCACATATCACGTAATCATATCTTTAATTAATAACTTAACTTAAAATTACAGATCTCATTTTCTTTATCAATCACAACTCATCTAAGACATCGCATAACCTTGTTTTAAGATCACCTAATAACTTATTCAACAAGGGCCTACATAGGTTATTTGATGATTTTGAAATAATGCTCCGTGTTATTTATCAATTGATAGCTACTTTTTTAAATTTTGACCAAAAAAAATAAATTTTATATTCCATCTGTCTCAAAATATTAATATCTTATTTCATTTTTTATTATCCAGAAATATTATTCTTTTTGACAAAATTAAAGACTAAAATAATATGATTTTTTATTTTATTTTATTTTATTCTTCTTTTAAATTTATTAACATTAATGAGGGGCTAGGAGGGGAGACCCTGTGGACGGGGAAGATTGCATGTTGTTTTGGACCACGGGGGAACGACTATGCCCGTGCGCAAATGAGGCACTAGGAAGGGAGATCTTGCGGAGGGACAACTTGCCACAAAGAGATAGTAGCTTGTTATGGATCGTGGGGGAACGACTGCGGCCGTAGGCAAACGAGGGACTGGAAAGGAGGACATCGTGGAGAGGGTATCTATAGCTAAAAGACTACAAAATGGTTTAGACGGCGTGTAAATGAGGAACTAGGAGGAGAGGGGACCCCGCGGATAGGAGAACAATGCAGCTAAGTGACTACAAGTTGTTATAGACCACAGGGGAATGGCTACGACCGCACGCAAACAAGAGACTAGGAGGAGGGGGGACCTCTGTGGAGAGGGAACCTACAACCAAGAGACTATAGGTTGGTATGGACCATGGGGGACGGCTGGACTGCATACAAACAAGGCTACTCTTATACCCAGGTCGCAAATTTGGCCACGTGCAGTCCAGACTGCCATGCTACTAAGGCCGAGCATAGGCCAGGATGCCATGCTGCCCAGGCTGCAGACAAGATCGCAGCCTTGGCCATGCGCATGCCAGGTTGCTATGCCGCTAAGGTCGGAGCCCAAGCCATGCGCATGACAAGCTGCTAGATTGCTTAGGTTGCAACCTTAGGAGTGGACATGCTAGGCCACCAAGGCCATAAGTATGCCATGTTATATGCATGCACGCCATGCTGGTATGCCAACCGGGCCGCGTACATACCATGTCGCACTGCCAGCAAAGGTAGGCATGCCACCAAGACTACTGCAGGCCGTCACTCGACACATCTCATGCTTGCCTATGGAATTTCAGTGCCATAAACCAAGTACTAACGTATTGTCATGACCCGAACCCGCCCATATGGGTTAAGGACATAACCGGCCAGTAATCGAGGGATTACCCATGGCCTCAAACCATTTCAAACATAACTCAACAGAGTAAAGGGGCCAAACGGAAGCAATTTCAAACTTTTGTCCATAAAGCTGTGCTTATATGGCACGTCATAACAATCCATACATATACATGATAATAACTCACATCAAACATACGTACTAACACAAAGCTCTGTACATACAGGATCATTCAAGTCTAGGTCCGTCAATTATACTATATACGAACATAAACCAAAGTCCTCGTCCACAAGACAAAATAAAACAAAATAGCAAAAGGGCGGAGACTGGTCTCGTGCGTGAGACGTAAGGGCTGACTCTTCAAAACCTTGGTTGTTCCACACAGACTTCACTGAGGCTGGGTTTGGACCTCTCTTGGCTCACCTACAAACACATGAATGAGCGTGAGCGAAAGCCCAGTGAATAATATCAAATAAAGAAGATACATTAAAACAACATAGATCAAACGGCCTTAGGCCCAATTCATATTTCTAACTAGTGTAATTATACATATAGATAAAGTAATTGCGGTTCCAAACACATCGAACGGCCTCGGGCCCAATCCATTCATGTCAAACGGCCTTCGGCCCATCAATACTTTCAATCATGTCAAACTGGCCTTTGGCCCATTCATACTTTCAATCATGTCAAACTGGCTTTTGGTCCATTCAGACTTTTATTCATGTCAAACTAGCCTTTGGCCCATTCAGACTTTCATTCATATTCAGAGTGTCCTTCGGCCCAATCATTCTTTTGGCACAATTCAATTTAACAGACTTATAAAAAGATGAGCAATTGGACAAATAGCATATTTCGGATATCTTTATTAAGATATTACTCACAGTGATCGGCTGGATGATTTGCCCTGGAGCTCGACCCTACACATTCCATGAACACAATGGGTTGCAAACAAATTAATTCGTTCTTAATTCACATATTCTTCTTTAGGCTTCATTCTTATCATTTTAACTCATTTACAATGCTTAATGCATGCCTAAGAGTGCTTAGAAGAGAAAGAGAACGGAAAACGAAACACAGAACACATTTACAAAATTTCTAAAACAGGGGTTCCCGCTTGAGCGTGGAATTCCCCGCTCGAGCGGACCCATTGGGTCTGCAAAAGTACTGGTTACAGCATTTTTACGCTCGAGCGTGAAGTCGGGTGCTCGAGCGGAAGGTCGGTCTACATAGCTCCCCGCTCGAGCGGACATCATGCTTGCAACATATTCTGGGAGCTCATATTTTACGCTCGAGCGGCGGTTCCCCCGTTCGAGCAGACGTCAAGAATTATGGGTTTTTCAGAACTGTTCTTGAGCTTCAAACATGCATTCAAGTTGGTATTTCTTGCACTTTACAGCCCATATTCCTCATATACATATGTTAACATGATACAAACATTAAATTACATCACTATGAGGTTCAATTTCCATGAATCAATTACATGCATGTCTCAAATTATCCCAAACTCATCACCAACACACCAAATTCAAACATTCAAGACTCACACCTCCATGATTTGCACTTGCATGTGGGAGATACTCATTATTCTCAACTTAATTGGTGAAGAGATGATCAAATACATGGACTTCAATCAAAATTCAACATGGATTACACACTTTATGCTCAAACATGGAAATTCATAGCAATTTCTTACATGCATGCATCTATTGACTTCAAATTCCACAAAACCAACTCAATTCATGTTCTTTATCATTCCTCAACTTTGAATTTACAAATTACAAACTGAAATCCATGAGCAAAAGGTGGATTATTCACCCAGGAGCCTTAATCTTCCCAATTTATGGTCAAATCTTGAGTTGGTTTTCAAATTATCAAGCTTCAAGATCAAACTTTCAATTGTTTCCCTCTCTCTCTCTAGCCGACCCTCACTCTCCTTCCTTAGAACATTTTCGGCTCAAATGAACAAAGAGAGAAATTGAGTGTGTAGTGCCCCTCTTTATAAGTCCCAATAGTCACAATTAATTAAGATTAAATAATTGAGCACCATAACACCAATTTAATCTATTTTATTTGATCCGAATCAATTTTCAATTAAATTTCACCGTAGGCTCTAAAAATTACGCCAATCACAATGGCGCAGTCAATTTCGGGTTTTATGGCCGATAAGGCCTTCAATTTAACTTCCAAAGCAGAAAGTCAAACAGATTTTCTTACAGTGAACAGATAGAAATTCAAAACCACATATATTTATACGAATAGCACACCAAATCATATCAAACACATAATCACATTCATAATAAGGACCAATTAGCATAAAACGGGATAGGGCTATCACACATACGCCCAGAACACGCCCTGGCATGGGCGTCGCCTGGCCTTGTTGGCCAACCTTAAAAGAGTTACCCTCTTAAAATAGCTTCTTAAGCCCTTTTATATCTAGCAGGAGGAAACATCATCCATACTTGAGAATTCATAATGAGATTTTTTTTTTAAATATAATTTTCTTTTATTAATTTTTAATAATGACTTGAAGGAAATAAATAAAGACACCATAAAAAAAAAAAATTAGCTATCGGAATAATTTATTTCTATTTTAATATTTAAAAAAGAATAAAAATTAGTAAAAATAGTGAAAAAAAATAGTAGAAATGATTCCAATAATTAAAGGATGAGGCACCAGTAATTATAATAATTTTTATATTATTTTTTTAATTTTTATTTATCTTAATTTAATTTTGAATAAATAAATAAATAATCATAAAAAAAGAAAAAAAATTCAAGAAAATAAATAAATAAATAACATTTAAAATCAATACTAGTGCATTATTAATTATATGCCATGATTTAGATAAAAATATGAAAGGATCATGTTCAAAATCGTCTTCAATAAAATAGTAAAAATGTATGAAATATGATACATTATTAGACAAAGCGAAAAAAATACACAAAAAATGACAGAAAACAACCAGTTCATTGCGACATGTAATAATTTACATTTTGAGAAGAAGATGATGCCACAAGAAGTGATTGCGGTTCGATGTATGACGACATACTCGTTTAATCAATTAGCCGTTCATCGTTGGATTGCCTTCACATTGTGGCCATGCTTTTTGTATCTTGTTGCCAAGCTAAGTTTGTATTGTTAGTGCCTTATCCAACAACATTAAGTGCACGCCAAATAATAGATATTGCCCGACCAAACCTCATTTTTGCAAAATCGATAGTTTATAAGAATGATTCACTTTTTAGAATTTTGAATTGAAGAGAGGCCATTGGTTGCATTGAGTGACATTCGCCATATGTCCCAACTAGAATTCCAAGACATGCTCGATAAGGGTAAATAAGAGTGCCATGACGTATGTCAAAGGCCATGTCAAGCTATCAACTAGGTCGCAGGCTTGCTAGCCCAGATCGCGCATATGCCAGCCAGGGCGTGCCCTTGCCAAGTGCCATGCGACACTCGATTGTGACATAGGCCGCGCGCATGCATACCAACCCGCGGCCTTGCCAAGTGCTACAACATAGGCCGCATGAATGCTAGCCAGACCATGACCTTGCCAAGTGCTACAGCCTTGGCAACAACCCAGGCCGCGTGCATAGAAGCTAGGACGCGGTCTTGTCAAGTCACCGGGCCTAGGCCGCGTGCATGCAAGCCCAAGCTATGGCTTTGAAAATTGTCGCAACCCAGGCCATGGGCATACTAGCCAGGCCACGACCTTACCAAATGCCACAGCCTTAGCTGTTGCCCAGGTCGTGCGCCAAGCCTCGACCTTTCCAAGTGCCGCAACCTAGGCCGCCCAGATGCCAGCCTTTGTATCTTGCCAATGCACAACTCATTGTAAAGTGTTTGTAATCCCCTTAAGACTTAGACATTTCGTTTCGGCATGCACATAAATTGTTTTTATGTGTTAAGGCACACACTTGACTATATTATTTGTTCCAAAACCTCAAGTGTGATTAGTTATGAGGGAAGGAGGTGAGATGAATCAGAACAATGCATGGCTGAATCTTAGTGGATCGTTGCAACAAAGTCACTCTATTATTTATAATATCTCGTCGCGTATTTAAATTGTCTACAAAGAATTCTACTCACCGTTTGAGATAAGAATCGTGTACTTCAAAACGGTCCACACAACCTCTTTTGACGACTCGAAAAAAAAAAAAAAAAAAAAAAAAAAAAAATTGAATTTTTATGTTTTTAGTATTTTTTTTTCAAAAAAATATTAAATTTTTTATTTTTTTCGACTTATCAAGACAAGTCTAATTTTTTTTTAATTTCAAAAAAAAAATTAAAAATCTAAAATAAGTATAAAAAAAATACTTATTTTTGTCTTTTTTGAAATTTTAAAAAAATTATAAATTTTCTATTTGTCTTATCCAATTGAATCTAAAAATTTTAATTTAAATCTTTTTAAAAATAAAATTCACTAAAAATGAAAATAAATATAAAAAAAAAAGTTAAAAAATAAGCAAATCCCAAAACAAGTGATTCGAAACAATAATTGGGATTATTTACCTCTAGAAAAAAGAGAAACACTAAAAGGGTCCAGTATTTGGTGGGAGAAATTTCCTTGTATTATATAAAGCTTCTCATGACCATGATGAGAATACCCAAATCAAGAAACAAAGAAAACTTCAGCAGAATACCCAAAATAAAATAAAAATAATAAAACTATTTACAGAGCATCCCTTACCCCACAAAAAGCCTCATATAAGGATTTACAATTTATTTATATGAAAATTAAAAAAAAAAACAAAAATCCTCAAAATGGGTCTTCTTTCTCCTGTGCTTCTCTCAAATTGGCCCCTCCTCTTCCAATGGACAGAATCACAGAAACCATGATACATTTTCCTTCATTTTCTTTTCTTTTCTCGGCTGGCTGATGATGTGATTAAGCAGCTATCACTGCGCCTGCTCGGAGAGGGTAGTTTTGGGTCTTGTTTGGAGAGGAGGATTTGTTGGGTTTCTTCTGATCAATCCTCAAGGCTTTCATGGAAGCAGAGATCTTCCAATTCTTCTCATTGGCTTCATCTATCTCTATCTGCTCTTGTCTGCACTCGTCACTACAGAATGGAGTGTCCCCTCTGTAATTCAAAAACCATACAAATTTAGAATAACCCCAAAAACAAAGATAAAAATTTTGTAAGAGAACAAAAGAATCAATCCTGTTTGGTCGCTGAGAAAATGTAATGATAATAGATCAAATTAAAATTTTGGGTTTGAATTTCCCAAACTGAAAGCAAACTCTCATGGGTCCAATCAATTTATTTATTTATTTGAGTTTCTCAATTTTCAGAGACCAAAATAAGAAACATTTACTGCTTCAAATTTTCCCCTTTCATTTGACTTGGTTTTCTCCACATCCAAACACAGTGAACGGAAAATAAGAGCAAAATCTCATTAATTTCCTATTCTATCCTAAACCCATCTCCAATTAGTAAGCCCATATTTTGTAGAGCAAAAAGAATTGGACTTTCCCCAAACATATATAGAATTTTCTGTGATTAAACAAAATTTTCCCAGAAAATTCAACTTTCCCATAAAAAAACAGAGAGAAAACATAAAAGAGGGTTCTCAAATTCAAAAGAAGAGAGAGAAAATGGGACAAACCTGTACATGAAGATGTCTTTGTTATTAGCAAGGGTCTTCTTGCAAAGAAAACAAGCCTCCAAGAAATGGGGCTGGTGTTCTTCATAGAATCTATTAGCATCATAGAACCTTCCAGATCTGGGAGAAGAAACAGAGGAAGAGAACGATGAAAGGTTTCTGATGCTACCTCTTCTCTGCAAGGAGGATGTGTAATAGAGTGGCCTAGACACAAAAGGGTGTGGATGTTGATGGTTTCCAGAGAACCCAGCTTCCATGTCTGCAAGAGAGGCAAGACCATCGTCTTCTTCAATGAAACAAGGCCTTCTTGTGGATGCAGAGTCCATGAATGTGTTCTTACTGATGTGGGTTTTGCTGAGTTAGAGAGAGAGAGAGAGAGAGATGGGGAGAGGAAGCTGGGAGGAGAGAGCTGGAGAGGTGGTTTATAAGGAAGGTTGGTGTGAAAGACTCTGAGTGAGAGAGAGAGAGGTGCAAAACCACGGCGGGTTTCGAGAATCCGTGAGAGTGAATCTATTGGCCCAGAACACTTACATGAATGCCATTAAATCTGCCAATAATTTACTATAATGCCAAGACTAATCAAACAACTACTTGGCAATCGGGTTAAAAGGTAACTATTCCACCCGTGCGCTATATGTACTAATTATGTTTATAATTATTTACATATTAGAGGTAGCTTAAGCTAAGCCTGTCATGTAAAAAAATTAATAATATAATTTTGGATTAATTATATTAAAAATTTTTGTAGTTTGGAACTTGTATCACTTTGGTATTTGACTTTTTAATTGTGATATATTTGATTCTAAATTTTGAATCTTGTTCTAAATAAGGACAATTGAAAATATTATTAGATTTTTTACGGGTAAAATCGTCAATTTGATAAAATATAAACTAATTTGACAAAAATAAATGTCAAAAAAATATTTTTAATATTTTTAAATTATTTTTATCCACCAATGATAAAATTATGTAAAATTAATAAAAATTACAAAATTAATTTTTTAAAATTAATTTTACATGATCATCATCTAAACACATAATAAAAATTAATTTAATAAAAAAATAAATAAATGTCTAAAAAATTTATCAATTTTACATAATTTTATTTTTAGTAGGTATAAATAACTTTTAAAAATTCAAAAATATTTGTTTGACATTTATTTTTGTCAAATTAGTTTATATTTTATCAAATTAAAAATTTTACCCTTGGAAAATCTAATTATATATTCAGCCTCCGTTTGGGAAGTGGGTTGGCTTTTTGGCTTTTTGATTTTTTTGGTTATTTGAGCCTGGGCTCAAAAGCTTAGTTTGGGAAGGGCTTTTTGACTTTTTTTTTGTGAGAGAATAGTGTAATGATTATGGGTTGGATGCGATATTTTATCTGTTGTGGCTCAAATAGCCTATTCTGTCTTTTGTGGCTCAAAGAGTCAAAAGAGCCCAAATGAGCTCTTCCCAAACGACACCTCAATTGTCTTTATTTGGAAGAATATTCAAAATTCAGGGTCAAATGTGTCGTAATTGAAAGACAGGGACCAAAGTGACACAATTCCCAAACTATAGGGACTATTTGTGTAATTTTCCCTATAATTTTATATAAATTGATATAAATAGTTAAATTTTTGCATGTAAATTATGAAAATAAAGAAGATTGAAATTTACAATTTAAGTCTCATAATTTTATCACAATTTATTTATTATTTTTTAATTTATTACAAAATTTAATCATGTGACTTCCAATCTCCTTGCTACATTTGCAAACTTAGGTGAGCCCAGTCCAAGCAACCTCAATCAAGATTAAGGTCAAGTTTGGCTATCCTAAATAAGTACACACTTTTTATCTTTTTATCTTTTTTCCATCACATCATCTCTCTACTTTTCTGCACATCTTTTCGTAAAAAGACAAAAAGTGCACTTATTTAGGTCATCCCAATCAATTTTTTTAAAGATTGAACAAAATAGTTTTTAATTAAGTAAGGACCTATATAGAAATTTAAAAATTCAAATTAAATTTGGGTGGATTTGGATAGAAATACCAAATAACTTGAGCTAGAGCAACTAACAAAATTATATATATAAATATATAAATTATTTGCTAATTTATTTTTTTAAATAATAAAAAAATTAATATTAATGAACAAAAGAAAAAATAATATACTTAAGATTTTCAATAAAATTTTTCTTAAAAATATTTTTAAAAAATACACCTTTTAGAAAGAGATTATCAAATAAGGGATTGTTTGGAAAGTGATCACAGAAAGATTAGCTTGCTCACTTTTTTTAATTTTTTTATCTTTTTGGAGTCACATCGGATTTCTACATTTTTACATATCTTTTCGTAAAAAATAAAAAAATATATATTTTTTTTAAATCACATTATATCTTTACTTTTCTATATATATTTTTGTAAAAAGTAAAAAAGTATATTTATTTTGCACTTCCTAAACTACCACTAAGTTGATATTAAAAAATTTACTTTTTATAGTGACGTAAATAATTTAAATATGATTTTTTAAAAATTATTTTTAATTTAAAAATTACAATAAAATAAAAACAACTTTCTTGCAAGATAAAAGTATTTGAATAAAAAAAAGTAAGAAAAAAATTTAATATAGTATTTTTATTAATCTAAAAATAATTCTAGATGAACAATAAATTATCACATATAACTCTCTTTTTTTAAATAAAAAAAATTTAACGAACTATCACTTTTAATAAAAAAAATTAAGGTTTCTTTCTAATTTATTTTAGCAAAAGTAACTTTTTAACAATTTGAGCAAAAGATATTTTTATTCTTTGTTAACTCTCTTTTTTTAAATAAAAAAGAAAAAAATTTAATATAGTATTTTTATTAATCTAAAAATAATTCTAGATGAACAATAAATTATCACATATAACTCTCTTTTTTTAAATAAAAAAAATTTAACGAACTATCACTTTTAATAAAAAAAATTAAGGTTTCTTTCTAATTTATTTTAGCAAAAGTAACTTTTTAACAATTTGAGCCAAAGATATTTTTATTCTTTGTTTTAATTTCTTTAATTGACAATTGAGATTTAAAAAAAAAAAATCTAACAAAATCCACCATGTTGGTAAGTGCTAAAAAAGTTATGTTTTGTTCTTTTGTTAAAAAAAAATTTATATTAAATTTTTTTATTATTCAAGTCTTTATAGTTTAGAAGGATATAAATTTTTTTTTATAAAATTGAAAACAAAAAAGAAAAAAAAAATAATAGCGATTAATAATTTGAACACATGCATTTAGATCAAATTATATTTAGACTAATAATATTATGACACATGTAAATATTGATCTAATTCTAATTGTGGTAACAAAATTTGAAGAAGAATTTAAATTCCAATTTTATTTTATAATTTAATAAAGGATGCAAAATTTAAAGAATGAATATTGATCTCATTCCAATTATAGTAGTATAATTTAAGAATCCAAATTTGAAATTTTATTTTAAGAATATAAAATTAATTTATAAACTAATAATATTGTAATACGTATTAATAAAAATTAAACAAAATAAAAAAAATTAGAAAAAATTACAACTTTCAATCTTAATAAAATGACAATATTTTACAATTATATAATAGTATATAGATATATAGATAAATCATGAAATAGATCATTATTTAGAACTTATATATTATGGGATAAATCATTATAACTTTAAATTTAAATTAATGGGGTGCTTTTCGCATTTAGTGCCCCTCAAATTTGAATTTTGAAATGAATTACTGTACTTTCTATCTTTTATTTTATATATTTGATATACTTTCTATTTTGAAGTTATAAATCAAGAGATATTAATTTCTTTATTTTTTTATTTTTTGGCTTGAATGATAGCTATAGAGGATTTTTTTAATTATTTAAAATCAAAAAATTAAAAATTTTAGTTTGAGATATTAGAGCTCCCACAAAACTTGTGGTTCGAAACCCCATTTTACTTATATAATATATAGATATAGATTGATTTCATAAGAATTTATATTTGTTTTAGACTTTTTTTAATATACAAATTATTTTTTTATAAAAATAATTTAACAATCGTATCACTGACCATAGTATATAGGAGAAGTTGAAAAATGGTGCAGCAGTAGGTATGGGAGAAGTCAAAAAGGCTTATAGGTTGGTAGAAGTCAATAAATGCTGAGATTTTTTTTTTAAATCAAAAAATTAAAAAATTAAAATTGGGATATTGGAGCCTCTACAAGACTTGTGGGTTAGAACCTCATTTTCCTTATATAAAATACTAGCATATCACCCATGCTATGCACGGGATTAAATTTTAAAAAAAAAACTATTTATATTATGTCAAACATATTTATAAATTGTTAGCATAAAAATATGCAATTTTAAATGAAAATGTTGACATTGCATAATTAAAGTAATAAAAATAAGAATTTATTACATTTGTTCGAAATTCACTGAATAAGTAAAACAAAAAAATAACTAAAATCTAAATTGTTGTGAGCATTCCATCAGCATTTCTGCATTGTTAACATGATAGTATTGTCAACATGATAGTTAGGTGGCGTTTGGTTATCATATTTGGCTAAATAACCACAAAAAGACAAAAAAAAATTTATTCAAAAAATCACAGAAAGCCAAAAATCACAAAATGACAAAAAAAAAAAATCCACTTTTCCAAAGCTAAAAATCCAAAAATCCAATTAAGAATACCAAACGAACAAAAAAGTCTCAGGCTAAAAAAGTCAAAAAGGCCAAAAAGCCAACTAAAAAAGTCATTGTCAAACAAAGGCTTAGTATTATAATTAATGAACAATACATATATTATGTATTTATAAAATGTCATAAAGTAAAAATGTTATACTTACATATTTTTTTTTTAACCTTCTGAAATGTATAAACATTCTTCTGACCAATTTACATTTAAAAAAAAAAAATCGTTGAACTAACTATAATCACATTTTTCTCTTTGTGAGTGTTTATATTTATCTAACTTCAATCATATTAAAAAATCAAATTATATTTTTTTTTTTGGCTAGACCAAATACAAATAATAAAAAAAAATGAGATAACTTCAATCATACAAATCACAAATATTTTTATGCTATCTAACTACAATAATAATTTTTTCATAATAAAAAAATAATTATAAAGAAGAACCATTAAAACAGTAAATAAAACGATTAAATCACGTTAAAAAAAAATCATTGAACAAACTACAATCACATCACATTTTTCTCATAAAAAAAAATAAATAAAAAAAAGAACCATTGAACTAACTACAATATAATCACATTAAAAAATAGAACCATTGAACAAACTACAATTATATCACATTTTTTCCATAATAAAAAAAAACAAATGAAAAAAAAAAGAACCATTAAACTAATTACAATACAATCTCATTAAAAAAAAAATTATTGAACTAACTACAATCACATTAAAAAAAAGAACTGTTTAACTAAATACAATCACATTTTTCT